ATTGGCGGACTGATACTAAAGCTGGTTGCCCGGCCAGTGCAAGCGAAAACATGTTGAGGTCGGTTCGTAAGAAATTCGTTAAGCGAATTTTTGTTCGTTAACCGAATTGAAGATCCTTATGGAAGGCAGTTCGTTAACCGAAATTTCGTTAACCGAGGCGTTCGTTAAACGAGGGGTCACTGTATATCAATGTCTCCCATTCCTTCAAGAAAAGTACTACAGTATTAGTACCAATTAAATTAATGCTATAAATTCATAAATAATGAATATATTTAGTGTTATGAGCAGCACACATGGTAACATAGATAATCTTGCCACCTGATAATTGTAGTTTACACAAGCCATAAAAATTTTGTATACCGTGCAGGGACTCCGCATTTTGTGCAATTGCTTCAAGTACTACCTATTTCTTTATTTAAATTTACAGTACTGTACAATACGTATTTAATATAATTTTTTTAACAATTGTATATAATTTTTCTAATGGACATATTCCATAACCTGCAAGTATGGAAAGTTTGATATTACAGTACTTCAGAGAACAAATCTTATCTCAACAAATAGCTTGCTCTGGCACACTGGATTTTGCTTTTCTCCAGAATAATATTTTGAGCAGCATTATTAACATAATACAGTAATACCCCGCTTTACGCGGTTTCACTTTACGCGTTTCCACGTTTACGCTGTACCCTGCCGAACACGGAATGCTCACTTTACGCGGTGCATGTACCCTTTTACGCGGTGCATGTACCCTTTTACGCGGAGAGCGGCTGGCGGTCCTCTCGCGCCGCGCCATTTTTGGATTCAAACCTCCCGCCATGTTGGGTAAGTGGCGCGAGTAGGTTGCGCAGTGTATGTTTTTGTTGCGTTATCGGTGACGTCATATGACGTATCGGACTGTGATTGGGCCAAGCATCCTTACCTCCCTCCCCCGCTAGCTGTGATTGGTTTAATGTACTATGACGTGCCCCGCCGCGGGAGCATTCAAGCTACACCGTGTATATTGGTATCCATTGTTCCATAAAAATGGCTTCCACTGGACCACCACCACCACCACAAAGAAACCTTGCATTACCTGGACCCAGCCGCCCTAAGCCAAAGAAGATACGACGTTCCCTAAGCTATGAAATTAAATACAAGATCATCCAAGAGTTGGAGAAAGGAACAAGACAGGTTGAGCTCAAGCGCCAGCATGGTGTTAACGAGTCTACGATTAAGAAGGATGCAGCCAAGATAAAGGAGCACATGAACATCACAAAGTCTACAGGTGCTTCTATGATCAGGTATTGCCACAACCAGGTGCTTCTCAAGACGGAGAAATTACTTGTGAGCTACTTGATTCGTCAGGTGCGACGGAACATGGCGGTGGACACGCGCTCAGTTAAGGAGTACGCACGTGAACTGTATGCAGCAGTATCACGTAAGATGGGAATTGCAGAACCCAAACCCTTCAATGCTTCCTCTGGGTGGTTGCAGAGATTTAAGAAGAGGAACAAGATCACCAACATTAACATTGGTGGTGAAGAAGCTAGTGCTGACCGTGTTGCGGCTAGGGATTTTCTCCGTTTTTACGTGAGATTATGGAGGATGGACAGTACACTGACGACCAGGTGTTTAACATGGACGAATCTGGTCTTTTTTGGAAAAAGCTACCTTCCAAGACCTTCGTTGTGAACAATGCCAGCAAGTGTCGGGGCCGGAAGTTGCAGAAGGAGCGCATCACCATCCTGTTTACCACCAATACCTCAAGTACCTGCAAGCTCAAGTTATCGGTGATCCACACAGCACGCAAGCCACACACCTACAAGAACATGGACATGACCAAGCGAAATGTCCACTGGCTGAGCGCACGTAAGTCGTGGATGTTCTCTACTCTGTCCGTCTCCTGGTTTGATGACTGTTTCGTTCCTGACGTGAAGAAATTCTGTGAGCAACACAATGTTCCATTCAAGATTTTGTTGCTGCTTGACAACGCACCAGGACACTCGCCCCTACTGTTAGATCGTCACCCAAACGTAAAAGTGGTCTTCCTTCCTCCCAACACTACGTCATTAATACAGCCGATGGACCAAGAATTGATCTGTAATGTGAAAGCTGCATTCTCTGCAAAGAAATTCAAGCTCCTGAACGACTATACCAACACCAAGGATGAGTTGCGTAACCTGGGTGACACCAATAGCAAGAGCGAAGAAGACGAGGAATAACAGTTGGCAGAACAAGAAGTACTTGTGAAGCAATTTTGGAGAAAATTCAACGTCAAGAAAGCTGTGGACTTCTTGGTGGAGGCATGGGATCAGCTGTCTGTAGCAACGGTTCGTCACGCATGGAGACATGTGTTGCAAGGTATTCCAGGTGGGAGGCAGAGTAAATCTGTGACTGGTGAGGTTCAGACTGTTGCAGTAGCAGTGGACCTTGCCAGAGAAGCTGCGCAGAATGTTACAGCTGCAGGCTTCTCCGAGACCACCAACGACGACATCCTGGAGGTGATAAGGGATCCTGATGTGACTGCCGACGAGATGCTAGATGACGATGACGTCAGTGAAGAGACAGGTGGTGCATCATCCCAAGAAGATCGCAAGTTATCGCACAGTAATGTAATGGGTGCCATCGAGTGTGTTGAGAAACTGAAGCTTCTCCTTTCCGACGACCCTGACGATAACCGGTATGGTCTTCACTACCCAGCTGTTGCAGACTATGGAGCCCTACATCAAGGTGTATCTCGACAACATCAACACCAGCCATCAGCAAAGCATTACCGAGTTCTTCGCCCGCAACCCACCACAGCCAGCCCAAGTCAGTGATAGTGACAGAGACAGTGATGGTGACTTTGAGGGATTTGTCAGGGAGGCACTAATAAGTGTGGATGACAGTGATGAAGACTCACCTGAGGGCCAGTAGCCTGCCCTCTGCCTCGGAACCAGCCTCCATTCTCGTACGCTGACCCATCTCTTCTACTAACGTAAGTGTTAACCCTAACCTTGTTTTTTTCTAACCTAACCTACAGTATATTATTATCTTTTTGATTGTTTCCTTCTATATTATGTGTGTGTGTGAATACCATCATAAAGTTAAGATGTTATTTTTACTAAAACGTACGTATTGTGTCGGGAAAAAGTGGAGTTTGGGGGTCGGCCCGGTCTCTATTTCAATTAATCCCATATGTTATGTTGTTCACTTTACGCGGGCCATCGTGGGTTCAATTGACCGCGTAAAGTGAGGGTTCACTGTAGATGAACTTGCCTAATAATACAATTTGGAACCCACACATACTACTTTGTGATGGACTAGGCGAGGTACCCTCGAGATCGAGTCCTGATAATGTGACAAAAGCTTGCCTTGCGCACCATGGTATTTATGAATCAACCCAAGGTGCTTGTTGTAAAGTCCTGGTGACATATTATGAGGAGCTCTGGACCTTAATCTGCTAGGTGCCAAAATAGAGAATGGAGGAAAATGCTCAGGGAGAAATGTGTGATATACAATAGTCTTTTCAGAGGACTCTCACCCACCTCTACAGGTTACCAGTTGGCTCTCTGGATTACCCAGGGGACAGAGGAGAGGTTGGGGAATACATACAATGCAATACATAACATGTTTCAGCAATATATATGGCTCTTAGCAGGTTATGGTCTGAAGCTCCTCATATATTATAGACAAGTTAAGATAGGATAAGTACATTTCCCCCTTGAAACTGGATATTTGTGAGACAGGTTTTACAACAAGCTGGTACAGTATTGATATAGTGCAGTTATACTACTGGTACTTGCTCACATTTGTTATCAATAAAATATTGTTTCCTCAATGAAAATTTGAAAAGGGCACTTTGTATTTTAACCATCCCAACTTTAAGAATAATTTTTTTACTTAATAAACACAAATTATTACAGTGACACATCTTTACTAATTAATGATTAACAAATAAACAATATTGTATCATGAATGACCGTTGTTTGAAGAATAGTGACGATTGTAGTAAAATGAGTGAGAGGCAGCGTTTAGGTGAGATGCAATGTTTGGGAGGGAGGGAGGTCGGGAATGGATATTGTATGACTCTGCTCTGGCTGAAGCTAAAACATATATGTATCACTGAAATTATGATTTAGGTGGTGATAATAGTGGTAGTAGTGATGATGGGGTGGTGGTGAGGGAAACTGTGGTAAGTGGTGAGTAGGTGATATATCTATCACTTTCTTTGGTAACACTGCACCTGCACACTGCCAGATGCTATTGAACAGCTGATATGAGCAACGTTGTATCCCTTCAACATTTCGTTACATAACATGAAACATGGAGTGAGAAAGCAGAAAAATGGGGGTGATTGGAGAGGTGGAGTGGAAGGGAGTGGTAACATGCACCGGGTGTGTTGCCAAATGCTCCACAACAGCTGACGTTTAACCCACCACCATGCACGTGTGCTTCAGTTAACCACACACAATTTTATGTCATACAATAAGACCTGCACTTAATATAAAACTGTAAAACACATTTATTAATCAACAGTAGTCATGGGTACTTACCAACAAAGTACTAGACAAGCAACACATCACAATAACATATAAAAAATCGGCGAGTCAAATAGATGTGGCCAGAGTGCGCTCAGCATTGAATGGCCGAGTGAGTGAAAACAAAGAAAGCTGCTCTTGGCATGTTGTGAGTGTTTGGACTCGTGACTTTTCACTACTTTTATGGATTACTTTATCCCAAGAGCTCCAAATGGGGTAGCGCTACCCTGGGTATTACTGTACAGGGTTTGCTAGATACATTTTCTATGGAAGTAGAGGATACGAGGAAGTGGACAGTCATTCTACTTGATGTTTTGGCATCAATAGACAGATTAAGACATCCTGTATGATTACAGAGTTCTAAATATACAGAAAAACAAAAACATGCTCTTTTTTTACATAAAATAGTGTTATGCAAACACATTAAGATCTGGACACACAAACATAAGAGCCTTTGTCCAGAATGAACATCAGCAACACAAAAATATTTTAGTTTACCAATGGCTTCCCCCACCAGGGCATGTACAGAGGGGCGCTCTCCCAAGTCTGACAACAAGGTGTGTAGACGGTCACTGCTATCTGGGGCCAGAATCTCTTCATGATCCATTAACAACTGATGTGTCTCACAGATTTCCTAAAACAAAAGAAAAATTAAAAACTCAAATATCTGAAATGAATACATCGTGAGGATGATGGGTGTAGAATACCAAACAGCAGTGATTTTTCACTTGAGTAAGCTCTTCCTAACAAAGGGTCAAAGTGGCCAACAGCATATTGTCCCCTCATTCACCACCATTCTCAAACTTAGGATAGGAAAACAAAATGAAATGACCTTCACAAGCTCTATGATTACAGGCAAAGACAAGTAAGCCTCTATCTAGCCATCAAGTTTATTGCCCTTAAGGAATGGAGCTCCAATCTTATTAATTAGGCTGAGCTAGACTTACTCTCTTTCTAGCTCTCAAGTCCAGGTCAAATTGCCCTTTGAACAGCCTGAACAGTTAATAAACCCCTGGCTAGTAAATCAAAATAGTAACTTCAAGCCCATTTGGTAAGTGAAATCTTAAGTTACTGACTGAGAAAAATATATCTTTGATTCCTTACAAGCTTCAAATCTCTAGCTGGGGGAAATGTGAATTAACTTGATTCTTCCAATCTTATGATACTGAATGGACAAATTATATTACAGAGATAGAAAATAGCAAAAACAAGTACAGTATTACCCCGCCTAACGGGGTTTCACTTAACGCGTTTTATCATATACGCGGTGCCTCGCCAGAGCTGAACTTTCACTTAACACGGATTTTTTCCACATATACGCGGTGAGTGTCCGGCTCGAGACGCTATTTTTAGATTTGCCCCACCCGCCACCCTGCCTGACTGCCTGTTTTAGCTCATAAAATTCATACAAATTACCCGGCCAGAATATAATTTACATTGCTGGAATTCTTATAATTTGGTGATCATTTTGAATATAAACATCATATATTTTGCATTAGACATACAAATTTTAGATAACATTTTTTCTCTGGGTAACTATGTTATCTTTTGTGCAAAATATATGACATTTATATTCAAAATATTCCTGGTCTTACAAGGAATCCAGCAATGTCAATTATATTATCCTAACTTTAGTTTGAGGTATTATTTATTACAAAAAAGTTAAGTATTCTGGTTTTCCCACACATCTCCTTGGGACGGTTGGTGGGGGGTGGGGGGGAGGGAGGGACCGACCGACCATCTGTTACCCGTGAAGAATATTTTTTTTTTTTATTAACTGAAGATATTTGTTTTAGCTCATAAAATTCATACAAATTACCCGGTCAGAATATAATTTACATTGCTGGAATTCTTATAATTTGATGATCATTTTGAATATAAACATCATATATTTTGCATTAGACATAAAATTTTTAGATAAAATGTTTAATCTGAGTAAGTATGTTATCTTTTGTGCAAAATATATGACGTTTATATTCAAAATATTCCTGGTCTTACAAGGAATCCAGCAATGTCAATTATATTATCCTAACTTTAATCTGAGGTATTATTTAATACAAAATGTTAAAATTTATTTTTTTCACCCACTCTTTCTCTTGGTGGGGGGGGGGGGAGGGTTGGGACTGACCGCGCGGTTGGAAGAGGGGGGAGGCAAGGTGGGGTACTTTGATTGACAGATAGTGTCGTGAAGATTTTTTTTTTTTTATTAACTGAAGATATTTGTTTTAGCTCATAAAATTCATACAAATTACCCGGCCAGAATATAATTTACATTGCTGGAATTCTTATAATTTGGTGATCATTTTGAATATAAACATCATATATTTTGCATTAGACATACAAATTTTAGATAAAAAAATTTTCTGAGTAACTATGTTATCTTTTGTGCAAAATATATGACATTTATATTCAAAATATCCCTGGTCTTACAAGGAATCCAGCAATGTCAATTGTATTATCCTGACTTTAGTTTGAGGTATTATTTATTAAAATTTAGTGGTTTTCCCCCAAAAATTTCTCAGAGAGGGAAGAGCCGGCAGTGTTGTGTGAGAGGGGGAGGGAGTTGAGTCCATTATTTGAATGGACATTAACTAGGCGACTGTATTTCTCTATTTCTCTTAAGTATTAATTGTGTGCATGTACCATCATAAAATTAAGATGTTATTTTTACTACAACATAGTTATGTGTCGTCAAAAAGTGGAGTTTGGGGGTCGGGCCGGTTTCTATTGGAATTAATCCCATATGTTCTGTTGTTCACTTAACGCGGATTTCACTTAACACGGGACCCTCTGGGTTCTATTGACCGCGTTAAGTGGGGTACAACTGTACAGTGACCCAGACTTGCTTAATCTGGATCCCCTGGCAATCTGGACTGGGGACCAGCACCAGACACATGTAGGTATATCCAATACAGAAAAACACAACTAAAATCCAGTAAGTATGGGGGAAAGTTGGTGTAAGTGGGGGATGCTATTGTGGTGGAGGTGGTTGCTGAGGAGCACCAAAGTGAAGTGTCTAAGAAGCATAAATAGTATACAGTACAGTACATATTGTCAATGAAAACATAACCACCTCTCTACCTACAGTGGTGTACATTGTGAGTGTCATATAATCATGTACTATGTGCTTCTCTTTTTCTATAAACCGGCATATTATAGCACAGTAATAATGTATACCACATGAAACAATCTTTTACTTTGTACAATTTTCTTATCACTTCCATTGTATTAGGCCACAGCCACAAGTGAAAATATTTACAGCAAGCAATAGTGTATAAACTTTTATCCACAACATCCGTTCTAATTGTTTGAAAGATGAATTTGGTTCCATAGTGATCCTGAATTAATTCACTACAAGGTTTTTTCAATGAAATATCGTTAAACTAAATATTTTGTCACACATAATGATGGAAACGCAATTATTTTATGAAACACTTAGGAAATGTTTTATACCGAAGAATATATAAAATCAGTTCTAAATAAGTTAGAGACACTATTTTTATGCCCAAATAATTCCGAATATTTTATTTAAATAAATATATACAGGTATCCCCAATTTATGATATTTTGCTTGAACGATGGCGATATATTAAGACCCCCTCCCCCCTATTTACGATAAAAAAATTCACAAGAATGATGGTTATCGTCAAACAAAATCATTGATGCGTGGAATGCATCTCTCGCTGCATTAATCAGCTGCAGTCTAGCCACACGCTGCTAAGTGACTACCTGGTGCACCACAGCCCTGCGCTTTATTCCCACATATGCCCGTGATCATGAAGCTCAAAGATTATTGGTCAGTACCACTGTTGTTAATTAGGTGGGTTTTTTTTATCTTACAGTGAGAGGACATCACTAATGTTCACACTACACTATGTTGTGGTTGCATGGTTCACTGTTTCAGTATACAGTGTTCCCTTGGTTAACGAACACAATTCGTTCCTTAGAGTCGTTCGTTAACCGAATCCATTATTTCAATGGGATATTGGGTAATTGGTTCCAGCTCACAGAAAAGTACATACAAAGTAAACACAAAATGCAGTAAAGTACACTTACTTTGAGGTGTGTATGTAGAATGTTGCTGGTTAATGATGATGATGGGAATTAGAAGTGGGGGGTGGAGGAGGAGAAGGGAGAAGAGAAGGAAGTGGGGGTGGAGGAGAAGGGAGAAGAGAAGCATTTTAATGCTTCTTGGAAGCGATAATTGTAGACACAGTTGATGCTGACATGCCATATTCTTTACTCAGTACATTGGTTCTAATGCCTTCTTCATGTTCTTAATAATTTCATGTTTCATTTGAATTGAAATAGCCTTTCTAGATTTCTTTGGACTCATGCTTGATGCAGTACAGTAATTTCACCAATAAAATTTTAAGTTCACTAGTTGTAATTAGGGATTATTTTATTTAAATCAACACTGCACTGCGCTTTATATTATCAATATGTTAACTAAATTTTAAAATGACTAATAATTTTAATATAAAAAATGCAAAAATATTAAAGAGCACAGCCTTCTTCAGGGCCGGATTTACCAATAAGCCAAGTAGGCCATTGGCTTAGGGCCCACTGAAACTAATTTGTCGCGCAGCGTGCCAGTGTATAACCTTGTTTCAAGTGTACACCGAGTATTTCATTATATAATATATTCACAACCATAAGGGCCCCTGTACAATAAGTATAGGGCCCGGAGTATGGGGCCCCTGTACAATAAGTATAGGCCCGCAGTGGTCTTCAACTGGTGGGTCATGGGGTGGTTCTCAGGTGGGCCACGGACTAGGCCCTATAGTAAAATTAAGAAAATAAGATAAAATAAGATAAAAAAAAAATATATATACATTTTTTAAATGTCCATGTCCCACCATCGATCTATCTATCTATACATACAGTGACCCCTCCGTTAACGAACTCAATCCGTTCCAGAAGGTCGTTCGTTAACCGAAAAGTTCGTTAACCGAAACCATTGTTTCAATGGGTTTTTGGGTAATTGGTTCCAGCTCACCGAAAATTTCCTAAATTCAACAAAAATGGTAGAAAAGTTCACTTACTTTGAGGTGTGTATGTAGAAGGCTCCTGCATGATGATGATGGGAATTAGAATGGGGGTGGAGGAGAAGGAAGAAGAGAAGGCATTGGGGTGGAAGAGAAGTCACCCCATGGCGCCATTTCACCCATAAAATGTTAGCTCTCTTGGTGTAATTCAAGATTATTTTCTTTAAATCAACACTGCACTGCATTATATATTGTCAATATGTAAAATATATTTCAAAATGACCAATAATTTGCTTGGAAACACAGAAAAAAAGCGTTTAGTTGAAGAGAGTCTCAAGCAAGATGTTACCTCCAGTGAAAACAGAGAAGACTAACTCCTGTTTGCTGTGTTAAGAGGCTGGATGCCGCGCATTAAACTAGTCACTTTACCTTCAATTATGTTCAATAATTGTTAAAATGACTAAAAAATTGAATATTAAACTTTTAAAATTATTGAATAGTATAAACTTCTTGATATTTACTAAAATAGTAAGGAATTTAAGCCCTAGAACCGATTAATGTATTGGCGGACTGATACTAAAGCTGGTTGCCCGGTCAGTGCAAGCGAAAACATGTTGAGGTCGGTTCGTAAGAACTTCGTTAACCG